TATAGCCCTGTGGCCAACATCCCGTTTCTGGGCAAGGTGTTGGAGCGGGTGGTGGCAGGACAACTGCAAGCTCTCTTGGATGAAACTGATTATCTGGACCCATTTCAGTCTGGCTTCACACCCGGGTACGGTACTGAATCTGCCTTGGTCGCCCTGTACGATGACCTGTGCAGGGAGAAGGACAGGGGAGTGCGCCCCTGTTGGTTCTTCTGGACCTCTCAGTGGCTTTCGATACCATCGACCATAGTATCCTTCTGGATAGGCTAGCGTGATTGGGGGTTGGAGGCACTGCTTTGCAGTGGTTCTGCTCCTATCTCAATGACCAATTCCAGAAGGTGGTGCTGGGGGACTATGGCTCTGCACCACGGCAGCTATGCCATGGAGTACCGCACGGGTCCATTTTGTCCCCTCTGCTGTTTAACATCTACATGAAACCGCTGGGAGAGGTCATCAGGAGGTGTGGGCTGTGGAATCATCAGTACGCTGATGATACCCAGCTCTACCTCTCATTTTCCACCAATTTGGGTGAGGCAGTGGCTGTGCTGAACCGGTGCCTGGCCGAGGTAATGGGCTGGATGAGGGCCAATAAACTGAAGCTCAATCCAGACAAGACGGAGGTCCTGTTGGTTGGCGGATCGGGCTTCGGGGAGGGTGAATTGAACCTAGTCCTGAATGGGGTTGCACTCCCTCTTAGGGACATGGTCCGCAGCTTGGGAGTGCTCCTCGACCCAGACCTTTCACTGGAAGCTCAGGTGACAGCGGTGGCAAGGAGCACTTTCAGCTTTGGCTGATCCATCAGCTGCGCCCCTACCTGGAGTACGACTGCCTGGTGACAGTGACACACGCATTGGTGACTTCCCGCCTTGACTTCTGTAACGCGCTGTACGTGGGGCTACCCTTGAAGACGGTACGAATACTTCAATTGGTTCAAAATAGAGCTGCCAGGCTGCTGACGGGGACTGGGCGTTCTGTTCACATGACTCCAGTCCTCCGTCAGCTTCACTGGCTTCCCATTGAAGTCCGGGCCCAATTCAAGGTGTTGGTGATGACCTATAAAGCACTTAACAGCCTGGGTCCTGGTTACCTGAAGGAGCGCTTACGTCCATATATGCCCGCCCGCCCCTTGAGATCAGCGGGGAGGCCCTTCTCCGGGAACCCTCCGTGAAGGAAATTAGGAGGGTAGGTACTTGGAGGAGGGCTTTCTCTGTGGTGGCGCCCAATCTATGGAATGCGCTCCCCAGAGAGGTCCGCCTGGTGCCGTCGTTATTTCTTTTTCGGCACCAGGCGAAGACCTTTTTATTCAATGTCATTTTAACTGTTAATACTATTTATTTATTTTATTCTTTGGCCAGGGCAACTTATTTAATATTGTGAACTTGTTTTATATTTTATTGTATTATATTTTAATTGATATTTTTGTGAGCCGCCCCGAGGTTTCGGTGAATGGGGCAGCATAGAAATTTTCTAAATAAATAAATAAATAAATAAATAAATAAATAAATAAATAAAATTCTCACTTTTTTTTGACCCTGTGGAAAGAAAACTCTCCTGACAACAATTTGACCCTCAGCTATACAGTTCAGCAAGGAGCAAAAGGGTACTCTGGGCAATCAACAATAAATAAATCCTGAAACACAGCAACAATAACTTTCATCCTCAACAAAATTTGAAAAATAAAATCCACAATATTGATGGGAAACTGTTAAGTTCCATCTTTAAAGTGAAAACTATATGTTTCAGTTAACTGAAAAAAAATCTATTTAGTGTGATATAATCTGCCATCTTTATTAGTGTACTAATGCTACCTATTTTAGTTTAAGACACATGGTATACAATTCCCTGCAATTAAAAACAGCAAATTATTTTGGACTCACATGTTCTTCTGAAGCATAGAGAACTTCCATTAACCGCTGGACAAGGTCATTATTTTCCTGCCCATGTTCTTGACAGAGAAGCTCGATTTCCCTTAACTTTCCAAAATAGAAATCCCTTTCCTTCTCCACACCTTCGAGTGCAAGTTTTAATGAATGTACCTGAAAAAATACAGCATTTTTAAGCATATGAAAATTGCATGCTGCATATATGACAGCCTGCATGATCACAAGGCAGACTGAATACTCAAACATTTTCAACAGAAAGAGAAACAGATGTATACTTTCACCCTGAAAAATGGGTGTCCTCACTGCGTTGATGCTTCCATATAATGCATTATCAGTGCTCTTAAATGCCATCTAAGACTGGGTTTAAATAATGTTTTTGTGGTATATGCCGTATCAGAGCCTTCCAATCCTATGGTATGTCCAACAACCAGCCTTCAATCGCTATCCTAAGCAAGGCAAGATTAACATCCAGAGAAAGAGAATGGACACGGGTGTTGAACTAGTGAGCAAGGCAAAAAGCAAGGAAAAGGAACAGAAACCCGTAACTACATATTTGTATCTAATACTGGCTTAGCTATGGTTCTCCATATTGCTTTATAGAGAATATTAGTAACAAGTTCACTAAAGGCATTTCCTTCCACTGAAAGACACATCAAGTATGCCAGTGTTTGTTCTCATTTTGTAACACTATCATCTGAATGAAGGAACATCTTAGAGGATTAAGGGATAACAGATCTTGATGTTGGGCAGGAGGTGAACCACATGCTCTTCTGGCTAGAAGAACATGACTTCCTTATCAGGCTGCCAGACATGTTCCACAGGAGCAGCATTACATCTTAGGGGTAAATGTTCCACAGCAAAAATATATTTATATTGAATTAAAAGAGCAGAGACTTGGCTGCTTCTACCCGTTTACCTTTAAGGGCCTTTTTTCAGACTTGCACATGTTTCCTCCCCACTCCCCCTTATGTGCTGCAATCCCTCCCCCTTCCTAATCTGCCATGATACCCAAGCTGGGAACATTATGATTACTGAAAGCCATAGTTTACCACCAAGACAGAACTGGAAGTCACTCTTAAGATATATGAAGAGACACACTGGATCAGACCAAGGGTCCATCTAGTCCTGAATTCTGTTCACACAGAGGCCAGCCAGCTGCCCGTGGAAAACTCACAAGCAGGAGACATGAACAGAACATTATCCTTCTGCCCACACTCCCCAGTAACTGGTGTACACAACTGTAATGTCTCTGATGCTTCAGACAGCATATAGCCATCAGCTAGTAACTACTGAAAGCCTTCTTATCCATGAATCTGTCCAGTCCTCTTTTAAAGGCATTCAGATAGGTGACCAACATTTACATTGCTCCTGAGGTTTGGTGGCAAACTATATTTTATCAGAAACATAATTTGCACTATGTGGATGTTTCAGCAAATATGTATTTACCATAGTTATGTCTGGGTGGTGCCCTTAATACAACTTATAATAAAATAATAAAATAGTCTGCAGTGTAAAAGAGAAGGAAGCACAAAAATGGACATATGAAATGTACATAGATCATAAAAAGCGGCTAAAAACACTAAACCAGTAAATCATCAGAGGTTTTTTTAAGGCCTGGGCATAAAACAGGCACTGGATGAATCTCTATAAGGATGGTATTCCATACAACTGGAGTGTCACTTTTAAGGAGGACTCTGCATAGAACAGTTATTAAGAACAGAAACTGCAAGTCATCGGTTGAGTTTAGCTGTGAGATTGCTGGGTGACTATAGAAAAAGCTACCTTTAAATTAGACAGTGCCTTCCAGTATTGCTGCTGTATATCATGGAAGGGAAACGGTCAACAACTTGCTGTATCAACAGTGGTGTCACCCTGTGGTGGGCAAGATGAGCAGCCAGCTTTCTTTTCAACAACAGAGGGTGGCAAAAATAATCCTAGCCCTTGTGAGTTCTCTACCACTTCCTCCATTTCAATGTGAAGTGAAGTGAAGGGTTTGTTTGGCAAGTGCATGATGAAAACTCCTGGAGAACTCTGGCCATGCACTGACAAACAGGCAAGAAACCCATCACTGGCCTTTTCTGCACTGCAGCAGGAAAGGCAGGCAGAAGATTGGACACTGCAGTTACCCTTCAGTCAATGATGCCCAACCAGCCATTCCATTGATCTTTGGTGTTGGAGACATGCCTGAAGAGAAGGGAAGCTGATGAAGACAATTTTTAGATTAGCCAGGAAGGCCACTCAAGCCAGTGTCTGCTTCAAGGATGTACAGTTTTTACCTTATAGAATCCCTTTATTGTTATTATTAGTTTTTATGATGTTTGGATGCACTAGCTTTTACGTTGTTTGATTTTATTCTTTATGTCATTCGTTGTTGTTCGGTGAGCTGCCTAGAGAGCCCTTGGGCTATGAGGGCAAGTGTCATAAACAAACAAAACAAAACATGTGTTGAAAAATCTACAAAGCACTTTGTCTATGTATCATCATTAATGCCTTCTGCATCGGCATAAGAGTGAATCAGATCATCATAATCAGATAATTATGCTGGAGGAAATACACATCTCCTGGTTAAGCTTGCACCAATACCACACATCTGCTCCTTTTCAAAGGCGTTGTGGAACACCTGAAAAGTCTGGTGGGGGGAGGAGGAGGAGGAAAGGGCACTCCCACTCTCCACTTTTAGATCAGTTGAGGCAGAAAGTAGCTCTCTAGATGTTTCGGACGTCAATTCCCAATATTCCTGACCGCTGGCCATGAAGGCAAAAACATCTGAAGATCTATCATCTGCCCCTCTCGCCACCCACTGTAGAAAAGCAGGTTGCTTACCTGTAACTGATGTTCTTTGAGTGGCCATCTGTGCATTCACACATATGGGTGCGGGTTGCTGCACCTGCGCAGTGCCTAGGCCGGAAGATTAGAAAGCTAATGGTTTTTGGCAGGAAAACTCCGCTCCCCTCCCCCTTTGTGGTATAAATAGAGTGGAGTGTCCGCCATTTTGCTCAGTCTTGAAGACCGCACGTTCGCCCTCTAGAGGTTAAAAATAAAGTAATGATAAGACACCATTATATTCCCACGGTACCGATGTGAATTATAGTACGGTACTGAGAACAATCTCTAGTCAGCGATATAACCTCCCGGTACCAATGCCATTAATATTTCAGTACCGAAAAAAAAATAACCACCCAGCGACATAATCCAAATGGTACCGATGCAAATTATAGTATGGTACCGAGAAAAAACATGATATCCACTCACCGACACTGAGTGGGGCCGGCGGGTGGGTTGTGTGAATGCACAGATGGCCACTCGAAGAACATCAGTTACAGGTAAGCAACCTGCTTTTCTTCGTCATGGCCTCTGTGCATCACACATATGGGTGATTCGCAAGCTTACCAGACTCGGCGGAGGGAGGTGTCATCATTGAAGAACGGATGAGAGAACAGCTCTTCCAAAAGAGCAATCCCGTATGGCACGTACATCAAGCCGATAATGCTTGGCGAAAGTACATGGACCAGCCCAGATCGCAGCTCTGCAGATGCCTTGCAACGGAACCCCTGTGGCAAAAGCAGACGAGGTCGCTACTGCTTGTGTAGAATGGCCAGTTGGAGAGACAGGTAAGTCTATTTTCGATAGCTTTTAAGCCAGGACAATAGTCTGGGTGATCCAATTAGAGAGTCTCTGAGATGAGATCGGTGATCCCATTTTTCGCTCAGAGTATTTAACAAAAAGTCTATTAGTAGTACAAAAAGATTCAGTGCGGGATCTGTAAAAAGCCAAGCAGCGGCAAACATCAAGCGTGTGTAAAGCACGTTCTATTGGGGTCAACGGCGACGGAAAGAAAGCCGGTAGAACGATTTCCTCATTCAGGTGGAACGATGTGGCCACCTTGGGTAAAAAGGAGAAATCCATCCGAAGGACAACTTTTTCCTTATGGAAGTTCAGAAATGCTGGGTCTATGCGGAGAGCACAAAGCTCTCTAGCTCTTCGTGCTGATGTAACCGCTACTAGAAAGGCAGTTTTCCATGACACCAGGCATAAGTCCGCAGTTGCTAAAGGCTCAAACGGTGGTTTGGTAAGAGCCTGGAGTACTACAGAAAGACTCCACGTTGGCATGGCAGGGCAAATAGACGGATGTAAATTTTGTAGTCCCTTAATGAAGCACCGAACCAGCGGTTGTGAGAAGACGGATAACCCGTGTATAGTGCCATGATAATGGGATATAGCGGCTGCATAAACTTTGATGGATGACAATTTAAGTCCCTCATGACGCAAATGTAAAAGAAATTGTAAGATATTGGTGACTGAAGCCGTTGCAGGGGAGAACGAATGGCACTCCGCAAAAGAGGAGAATCTTCTCCATTTAGCCGTATAGGAATGAGGAGTGGACGGTCTTAATGCAGATTCGATAATCACCTGAATTTCTCTGTCGGTATGCATCGGAATCGTGATATTCGCTGTCGAATTCGAAGTCAGGGCTGCATATACCATGTGTTGAGTGAGGTCACCCATACTGTGAGGTGTCCCCGGTACCAACTCAGTGACGTGAATCAGGTGATTTGCCATGCCGTCAGCTTCAGAGAGAACATATCTGGATGGCGGATCGCTCCTCCTTGTTGTGTTAACAAGTGCGGGAGAGTTGGTACATGAAGGAACGTTCTGGACAGCAGCAAGAGAGTGGTAAACCATGGTTGTCTCGGCCACCACAGAGTCACTAGTATCCCCGTGGCCCTGTCCTGGGCTATTTTTGTTACCACTCTCGTCAGAAGTGGGATTGGAGGAAACGCATAAAAAGGTATGTTGCTCCAAGGGACCATGAGAGCATCTCCCATCGATCCCAGCCCGATGCCCGCTCTGGAACAGTAAAGGGCACACAGGCTGTTCTGTTGCGTGGTGAACAGGTCCACATCCGGATAACCCCACAGGCGGAAGAGTTCCTCGCAAAGTTGTTTGTCCAACTCCCATTCATGGGTTGTCGACATCTGTCTGCTTAATGTATCTGCTTCGACGTTGTCAGTTCCAGCCAGGTGAACCGCCATAAGCGTGATGTTCCTCAGTATGCACCAGTCCCAAATGTCCATTGATAGGCGTGCTAAGGCTGGTGATTTTGTGTCCCCCTGCTTGTTGATGTAGAAAACTGCCGCTATATTGTCTGATGCAATTTGGACAATTTGACGGCATAACACAGTCTCAAAAGTCTTGAGGGTGTTGAAAATCGCTAGAAATTCCAGGAAGTTGATGTGTTTCCTCGCCTCTCGTCGGTTCCAAGTACCTTGGACCCGAAGTCCCGAACATGCCACACCCCATCCCAGGAGGGATGCGTCGGTGTACAGAGTCATCGTTGGCTGAGGTGGTCGAAACGGGGTGCCGATCGACAGGTTGTCTGTGATGGTCCACCACGTTAAAGTGTGAAGGACTGCATGCGGGACCCAAATCTGCTTGGTGGCAGGATCTTGTTGCGGTTGAAAAACAGTGTTGAAGAACAGTTGAATGGGTCGCATACGTAACCTGGCATATGGGACAATGGCAATAGCAGCAGCCATATGCTCCAGTAGTCTCTGAACGGACAAGGCTGGAACCGTTCCGTGTAATCAAATCCGATGAATATGGCTGCATAAAGCATTCTGACGTTCCGGTAGGAGGAAAGCTTTTTCCCGTGTCGAGTCGAGTCGTGCCCCGATGAAATCAATGACCTGCGTGGGAATAAGGGTCGATTTGTCACGGTTAATGCAGAGGCCGAGAGCATCGAGCAAAGCGCAGGTCATTTGTATATCAGACAAGAGAGCTTGTTCAGATTGCGAGATGATCAGCCAGTCTAGTATGGGTAAACCTGTACTCCGCGAGTCTGCAAGTGTGCGCATACCGGTGCCATACACTTTGTAAAGACTCGAGGGGCTGTGGCCAAGCCAAAGGGTAGGACGTTAAACTTGAACAGGTCGGATCCGACAGTAAAACGTAGAAAGCGTCTGTGTGAAGGATGTATGGAAATATGAAAATAAGCATCCTTCAAATCCAGAGAGGCGAACCAATCCTCTCTTTTCAATAACGGAAGAATGTTCTGTAAAGTGGTCATCTGGAACCTCCTTGGTTTGATGTACTTGTTAAGAGTTCATAAGTCCAGGATCGTACGGAGACCACCGTCCCTTTTCGGGACCGTAAAATATCTGGAATAGAATCCATGCAATCCTTCTGAACAGGACATTTTTCGAATCGCTCCCTTGAGAAGTAGCTGTGAGACTTCATCGCGTAGCACCGATGAAGAAGGTGTGAAGCGAATCGGGCTCGAAGGAGGAATAACATCGAATTCTATCCTATATCCAAACGAGATGATAGATAACACCCACCTATCAGATGTAATGGACTCCCAAATGGGGAGTCGGCCCTGGAGCCGGTCCCCAAAAGGGAGAAGGGAAGGTGGTGCTGGAATAGAGAGGATGGTTCGTGCAAGCTGTCAACGTGGGCGTTTATCGGTATCGAATCGCCTACGGCCTTGGGAAAAACGCTGTTGTGCTTGCTGCCTCCGACGCTGCCGTTGTTGGTATTGTTGGGTTCGAGGGTAGTTTTGCTGGCACGGATAATATGGTTGATTCTGGTAGGACGACCGGGGCCACTGCCACTTACGTTTTTGCGGGAGCTCCATGCGGCATGTGGTTAGGCGTGATTCATGAATTGCCTTTAATTTTCGGTCAGTCTTCCGGTGGAACAGACCGGTACCATCAAAAGGCATTTCCTCGATTCTGCGCTTCATCTCATTGGGGAAATTACAATTGCGCAGCCACACATGTCAGCGTAGTGAGATGGCATTGACGAGGGCCCTTGAATTGGTGTCTACATGGTGACGAGCAGTAGACAGCTGTTGTACTGCCACCTGCATCGCCTCCTTAATAAAAACCCTGGCAAGGTCCGCTTGGTGGTCCGGAAGGGAGG